GCACCCAATCGCGTCGTGCAAGGCGATTTTCTGTCTCTCTCGCACTATGTGCCCCTAAACGGGGCAACCGAGGGTGCAACCACTCTCGGAGGGTCGCGGGGGAACGCGATGCTGCTTTGACGGAAAAACCACCCAAGTCCCGCCTGGCTATTTGCTGTCTCTCTCGCACACTTGAGCAAGCCGCCTTGCTGTTATGTGTCTCTCTCGCACACCCTAGCGTCCCGCCAGGCGATTTTCTATCTCTCTCGCACACTTGAGCGAGCCGCCAAGGCCAACCGAGGCGAGGGCGCAACCGCTCTCAGAGGGTCGCGGGGGAACGCGATGCGCCTTTGCCGTAAAAACAACGCAAGTCCAACCGTGCGATTTTCTTCCTCTCTCGCACTTATGCGCGAGCCGCCTGGCTGTTTTCGGTCTCTCTCGCACACCCAAGCGTCCCGCCAGGCGATTCTCTATCTCTCTCGCACACTTGAGCGAGCCGCCTGGCTGTTATGTGTCTCTCTCGCACTTATGCGCGAGCCGCCTGGCTGTTTTCGGTCTCTCTCGCACACCCAAGCGTCCCGCCAGGCGATTCTCTATCTCTCTCGCACACTTGAGCGAGCCGCCTGGCTGTTATGTGTCTCTCTCGCACACCCAAGCGTCCCGCCAGGCGATTTTCTATCTCTCTCGCACACTTGAGCGAGCCGCCAAGGCCAACCGAGGCGAGGGCGCAACCGCTCTCAGAGGGTCGCGGGGGAACGCGATGCGCCTTTGCCGTAAAAACAACGCAAGTCCAACCGTGCGATTTTCTTTCTCTTTCGCACTTATGCACGAGCCGCCTGGCTGTTTTCTGTCTCTCTCGCACACCCAAGCGTCCCGCCAGGCGATTTTCTACACTGAGAAAAAACTATGGCTTATAAACCTATTAGAGGTAAATATGGAACACCACTAATAGTAGTACCTCTACATATAATAATAGCACATATACCTTAGTTATGGTACCTGTACCTTAATTAGGTACAGAGACCTTAGTATGGTTCACAGACCGAGAATCATTAGTTTATTTACGACTATTATAGGTGTTCCATATTTACCTCTAATAGGTTTATAAACCATAGTTTTTTCTCAGTGTATCTCTCTCGCATGCATACGCATCCCGCCTGGGTATTTTCTGTCCCTCTCGTACACTTAACCCGTTGACTACCGAGTTTCAGGAGGTGCAGGAAAAAATTATTCGTTATGATATTTGCAATCAGCTAATTTTTTTGGATTTTTTGACCCCCAAAAAAAATTTTTTTTGACCATTTTCAGAAAAGTTAGCAGATGTCCATCTGGAAGGACATAAGGAGTGTGGAAGGTCACAACAGGTCAACTTAACATATTAATCTATTTATTGATTTTCTTCGGTAATTTACTAAATTTGCATAAGTACTAGTAAATTTTGTAAAAACTGTCATGATATTACTTAGGAAATATTAAAGTTTCAGGCTTTACTTGATTTATTCTCGGTTGTTTGATTTGTTTTCGGTTACTTGCTTTCGGTTGACAGATATGACTTGATGGGCCAGTTTGCGGTCAAATACTAATTTTATTCATTGTAGAAAGAAAGCAGTTAAAGAAAATTGGTGCGATGGGAAAGGAAAGCAGAAAAGCATCTCTCTACCTTCTTTTTTTGGAAAATAAATCTTAGCTCATGCAATATTGAACAGTATTTATGAATTTCATCCCTTCGACAACTGATTTGACCGCTAAAAAACATAGTTCGGCTCCATATCAAAATATTCAGATAAAATGATGCTCCTCAACCTCAACCCAACCTCACTCTCTGCTAGATAGATAAAAAAAAAAAAAAAAAAATTACAGCGTAAGGTTGATTTCTGCAGGAAGAAGAAAGAAAAACTAGATATCGGAGGGAAAAATGCACGGAAATCGGAGCACGTTTGCGGCAACTGATAGAACTTGTGGAGGGTGCTTCTACAGAAACTGAGGCTTCCACTACAAATGGCTCGTCTGGTAGAATAATTCTTGTATCAGTCTCTGACTCCGTGTCCGATTTTCCTCCTGGCATTTCCACTGGGGCATCTGATGAGTCCGCACCGATAATTTGTGAATCAAACACTTCACAGAACAAAAAACCCAAAAAAATAAATGCTATTTGTAGCACCAAACACTAAGCACAAGATGCACAAGAGCACATGAGCAAAAGATGAAAATACAAAGATGTAAGTTTTCAGAGCAAAGCCACAGTCAGGAGTTATTATGCATTAGCATTGCTGTAATGTGCGGACAATAGATGTCCCCTTACCCTCCCCACAGAAAAATTTATAACCACTCTCATGACTTTCAGCAGAGGTAAGTCACTCCAGAAAGTATAATTTCTCAGAAGACCCACCAGATAAATTAAAAGTTGTTTACGCCCAGTTTGTCTACTGCCTCTGCGCATTGTGATAGCGGAGAATTAGAGAAAGCTTAGAGAGCTCCTCTGCCATAAACAGAGGAAGAAAATCGGTGATTTTAACAGGCAAATCCAAACTAAATAGCTGCCAAATTACCTAAAGAAACACCAAACACCTAGAGGAAAGTTTCAATGAAACAATTCATAAGCAACATACTGTTGCGAGACAAGTCCACAAATCCATTCAAGAATTAGGTACTTACGGTTGTCATGATTTATTTCAGAATCTTCTTCATCCCGAAAGATCTATGTCGGATTGATCAAATTGATCAAGTAAGTTCTTGAGGGTCTTATCGTCCAGGTAATGATGTTTTCCTGCCATCACTGTACAAAATGCTGACTGGGGAGAGGGAAGAACACTAAGGTCCGAGGATAAAGAGTGTATGAAATGAGGTAGAACTAGGTAGAACAGGAAAGAAACACAGAAACGTTGAAACGAAATGGGATTAGCCAATGGCTATTTTGAAGAGAGAGAGAAAAAAAAAAATTAAAATACCGCGGCCCGACCTGTCACGTGATTTATGACCATCCAGATGGACATCCACTTTCAAAAAATTATTGTGTACACCAAATATTTTGGAAAATAAACTTTAAAGACGTTTCTGGTGAGGAATATGGCAGCACTTCCGTAAACCTCTCCCTTTAAAATCGGAAATACGACGTCCCTCAAAAAAATGATAGGGAAAATTTCGGTTTGCACTATGAAAAAACGCTGCACGTGTGCGTCAACATCCAATCAGAGTGACGGAACTCTAGATTTTTTCTGTGTGTATACGCGACCCGTCCATTAGCAATAGACTTATGCCTATAATCATAATTATAGCGGGTGCAGGTACCTATTGCTTTTATCGAGGAAATATTGTTTGAGATTTTTGAAGCTTAAGGATTTAGAAAAGAGACGAGAAAGTGCTAAAATAAAATTGAACGTATTTATGCTGAGAAGAATTATGCGAAAATAAATCGAATCAAGAGGATCTATGTGCATAGGGCTCACAAGCTACACTAATCTTTTTGCTTTCACTCATTTGCACATATTTCCTTGTAGCATAAATACGTCCAATTCTCTTTTCCAGACAGCTCACAAATGAATTTCCTTCAATCTTATTCTCTCAAATTAACAA